CCACCATGGGATAGCACTTCCTGGGCAGGCAGAGAGTAAATTGGCGCACAAATGTACTGAAAGAGACGTACTGAGAGCTGAGAGCACTACTTAAGTTTCACAACACAACCAAAGCTAAAGATATTTCTTGCCTCCAACTAGCTGATGAGTGGAACAGGACATAACTTGATGTAGTGACAATATTGTTAAGTGGCTTGGGAACGTCCAGCTCTGTCGTTTGTGCAATCAGGCAGTGCTTCAGGGCCACAATGCTTGTTTACTGATTAAATGAACTCTGAGTGCGGTACCAGAGGACCTTCAAGCTATCAATACCTGCAGCCATGTCAAATCAACCGTGAAGGACTGTGTGCTCCCAGTTCTTAAGCAGTCTCTTTCATCATATTTGTCAACCAGCCTGTATCTGGAGCTGCAAGCAGTGTAGCATCTGTTCCTACTATTTTTTTTAAAAATCACAAGATTTGTGCTCCCATTAGGAATCGATATTTCCTAAGACTATTAAAAAGGGCAGCGCAGTGGCTCAGTGGTTAGCACTGCTGCCCAGAACGCTAGGGACCTGGATTTGATTCCACGCTTGGGGGGCTGCGCAAACTCCACACGGACATTCTCCCCATGTCTGTGTGGGTTTCCTCCGGGTGCTCCGGTTTCCTTCTGCAGTGCAAAGATGTGCTGCTTAGGTGGATTGGCCGTGGGAAATTGCCCATAGTGTCCAGGGATGGGTGGATTAGCCATGAGATATGGGGGGGGGGGGGGTCTGGGGGGGATGCTCTTTGGAGGGTCAGTGTGCGGGGTTACAGGGATTGGGGAGGGTTGGTGTGGACACAATGGGCTAAATGGCCTGCTTCCACACTGTAGGGATTCTATGATTCTATTCAAAAATTGACATTGAGAGTTAATTATCTATTACTGCCGCTTCATATATTTCATCTTCTTCCCACTGGTGTCCTTGGCCATCTACCCTTACAGAAGATGGCACTGGGTTATAGATGCAGACTCTCTGCTGGTAGCCACTCGAGTGGGCACTCTTCTGCACACACGCAGGTACGTTGGTGATGCCCACAGACTGTTGGCAAGTTAGGCACCCATCTGTGCTCGCCCACCAGCCAAACAAGCTTATTTTCCTACCGAAACCACAGAATCATCAGCAGCAGCGGGGAGCTGTATTTGCACTGTGGATGGCACACAGAGAATGGAACATGTTTTTGACTTTGTGACACACCGGGGATTAGCCTCCCTTCCACCCCCACTACCTGAGGCCATGCCTGAATTCTCCTCTGGATCCACCCCACCCCCCCCAGAGGCCAATTTGTTGACCTGTGCAAATCACTGCAGCTTCAGTCTTTATTGTCACCAGGTCTATTTACACGTTGGTTTTCATGAGAGTGTTTGCACTGTTGCTGCAGGAAGTGGTGGTTTAGGATGTTTGGACTGCACTTGTTGAAATGTGAGACCAGGTTGTTTGCATTGCATTGCTGGAACTGAGCGAGTGTGTTCAAATCTCTTGGAAAAGGACTGATGGGACTCCCTGAATAAAGATAAAGGCTTTTAGGCTAAATTCAGCAACAGGTGAAATATGTTTCAGCACTTGATCATGGTAGTTTTGTCCTCTTAAGCGTGAACCTATTCCCAGCATTATGCATGAAAAAGCCCGCACTAAGCTTCTTGTTTTCCCCATCGGAAGAAGCTGTTATAGCAGAATAAAGATAGCCAGTCTGATCGAGCTCCTCGTCACCCAGCCTGCATCGATTCTGAACATTAACTTATCGACAGATAGTTAGGAGTCATGCTCTTACATAAGAATTGCAGTTTCAGGCTTTTAAGGAAGGTTGAACTGAGCAGCATCTAAACTGACTTCATATTCAGCCCGGGTCTTTGGAGAGAAAGTGAAAATAATCACTTTGTCGCCTTTCATGACTTCAGAAGATCCCACGAGCAGCCAATCAAGTACCTTCGGTAGGGCCTGTCACTGTAGTAATGCAGAACACTGTCACGCACAACTTGCACAGCAAGCCCCCAAATACTGCAATGTGATAATGAATGCATAATCCTATTTTAATTGTTCTGTTTGAGGGATAAGTATTGGCCAGAACAGAACTCCCCTGCTCTTCTTCAAATTAGCAGTGGATTTGGCACGCTTGCCTTCCTCGGTCAGAACATTGAGTATAGGAGTTGGGACGTCATGTTGAGGTTGTATAGGACGCTGGTGAGGCCACTTTTGGAGGACCACGTACAGTTCTGGTCACCCTCGTATAGGAAGGATATTATTAAATTGGTGAGGGTGCAGAAAAGATTTACAAGGATGTTACCAGGACTAGAGGATTTGAGTTAGAAGGAGAGGCTGGATAGACTGGGACTTTTTCCACTCGAGTGGAGGAGGTTGAGGGATGACCTTACAGGAGGTATATAAAACGATGATGGGCATAGATAAGGCGAACAGGTCCTGCTGACCTAATCTATCTGATAGGAGGGTAATAAGCCAGCTCATCTTCATTACATCACTGGCGTATGAAGTTGCCAGCTTTGGTTAGGCATATTTCTGGGTGTTTTATCATGTGTGTCCAAGCAGCCTACCTGCTCCAACAGTTCATAGAATCATAGAATCCTTACAGTATGGAAGCAGGCCATTCGGCCCATTGAGTCCACTCCAATCCTCTGAACAGCATCCCACCCAGACCCAGTCCCCTACCCTATCCCTGCAACCCTGCATTCCCCATGGCTAATCCACCTAACCTGCACATCATTGGACACTACGGGCAACTTTGCGTGGCCAATCCACCTAATCTACGCATCTTTGGACTGTGGGAGGAAACCGGAGTATCCAGTGGAAATGCACACAGACACGAGGAGAACTTACGAACTACACTGACAGTCACCTATAGCTGGAAGGGAATCCGAGTCCCTTGCACTGTGAAGCAGGAATGCTAACCACTGAGTCACCATGTCACCCTCTCCCCTAAATCCAATCAAGGTGGTAATAACAAAAGAAAGCTCTCTTTTAATTTTACTTGTGGATTTGCTCACTGCAGCGTCCAGGAGATTACAACATGTATAAATCCAACAAACTCCAGGACAACCCTGAAGAGTTGGCAAGCTGCTCATGTGAGCTAAGCCCTGGGAAAAAGCTCTTCTGCAGCAAAGCAGCTGACGCTAAATGGGTTGCGGATTCTTCATTCTCCCCAAAGCTGTCGGTGTGCAAAGAGTTAATTTTTCACAGCAGTTCGGGAATCCATGTGTTTATTACCCCAGCTGCAGCGTTACTCATAAACATCACTTGTTTCCAAAGAAAACGTGGTCTGTGTAGCCACTTTCTGCCCAGCAGGTCTGAGTCGATTCAGGAGTAGTCCATATCTCTGCTGCCTGAGCATGTCACACACATCACTGAGTTTCGAATTAAAATACACCAGACTCAATCTCAGCACCCCACCCCTGCCAGTACTAACATAAACCCCTGTGGTGAATCTGACAAAAGTGTAGCCAACTGTTACACAAATTCACACATAATCCCCTGGCATTGCCCTGAGGCTGAACATTAGTTATTATGGGAACAACTGCTGAGTGGGAGTTATTGCCCACGTTCGCCATTTTGTGACTTTGCCAGTTGTTTTACCGAGAAAATGAGAGAACAAAGAGTGCGCAACACAAAAATTACAACACTGCCAAAAGGGGACAAGAAGTCAAAGCTTTTCCACCCTGCATTCATCAGGGTCGGCATGCAAGAAACCAAACTTATATTGGGAACAAACGATGTATACAGCACAAGAGGAGGGGGCTGAGTGGATGGACTATCGCTGATCTAATCAACTAAACAGCACCCTCCTCCTTTACTGCATAAATTGTTGTTCCCTTCCTAAGTTTGGTTTCTTGTGTCCCAGTCCTGATGAGTGCAAAATGAAAAAAAATAAACTTGTGGACGCCTTTTCTCTTTTTAACAATGTTTAGGCTCAGTATTTCAAAGGGATTATTTAATTAATTCACTACTTCCAGAATAAACAGTGGTTGCGGTGTCTTTTCATTATTGGTCAGAAGTGACGTGACACCAGGTTATAGCCCAACAGGTTTATCTGAAATCTCAAACTTTCGGAGTGCTGCTCCTTCGTCAGGTGTCGTGTGACTTCTGACCTTATGAACTCCAGTCCAACACTGGCACCTCCACATCATGGCTTTCATTAAGGTGACAAAGCAAAAAGTGTTCTAAAACTTGACAGGATCAAATTTGATACCATCTTACCATGCTATACAGTTGGCATTATAGAGAGTCTGTAGAGGTAGATATCAATCAATCAATCTGAGAGAGTCGTTTTTTTTTTTTTTTATTCATGGGACGATGGTGTTGCTGGCTAGGCTAGCATTCACTGATCATTCCTAACTGCCTAGAGGGTCAGTTAAGAGTTAACCACATTGCTGTGTGTCAGGAATCACATGTAGGCCAGACCAAGTAAGGATGGCCAATTTCCTTCCCTAAAGGACACTAGTGAAGCAGATGGGTTTTTCCAACAATCGACAATGGTCATCATCAGGCTCTCAAATCTAGATTTTTATTCAATTCAAATTATACCATCTGGCATGGCAGGATTCGAACCCGGGTCTCCAAAACATTACCTAGATCTCTGGATTAACAGTCCACTAGCCATCACCTCCCCTTACTGGTAAGGTCTTTGTATCTTTTCTGGTAAAAATTAGGCACTGATGGAGGAACCCATCAGAACCTTACACCTTAAAGCGTACTTCACGTTATTTGAGGGCCCAGAGCCTGTGGGTTTAGTATTTATCAGTGATTAAGAGTCTCTACTATGTTTAAACATTTTTTTAAATGGGATTTGCTCTTCGTGCTTCTGGAATGTTTTTTTGCAGGGTGACTTTACACCTTGCAAACAAACAGGCTTTCAAAATAAACAGCAAATAGCATTTTGAGTGGAACGGTCTCATGGTATATTTAGAAGATGCCTCATTGGCCAACTTTCCCTAAATAAATTTATATTAGTTACCAACAAGAAAAGACTTACCTCTTGAGAGAGGAAAGGTATAATTTGTGCACAAATTGTGCTCAGTCTCTTCACAATTTCTGCCTGCAACAACAAAAGAGGAGATATTGTAATGTTTGGCCTTACTGCAGATTAATTATAAGATGATCATACACCGTCAACATTAACAACAGGATCAGTCTCCAGCCTGTGAACCTAACTCTCATCATCATCGCCAGGCAGCATCAGAGGAGCAGGAAAGCTGACGTTTTGGGTCGGGACGCTTCTTTTCTGAAGAAGGGTCCTGACCCAAAACGTCAGCTTTCCTGCTCCTCTCATGTTGCCTGGTCTGCTGTGTTCATCCAGCTCCACAATTGTTATCTCTGGCTCCAGCATCAGCAGTTCTTACTATCTCTCATCATCATGACTTCGTCTTTCTTAGTGCCCCAACTTACAGTCATAGAGTTGTACAGAGTGGAAACAGACCCTTCTGTCCAATTCAACCATGCTGACTAGATATCCTTAATTAATCCAGTCCCACTTGCCAGCATTTGGCCTATATCCCTTTAAATCCTTCTTATACATATACACAAGCAAATGCCTTTTAAATGTTGTAACTGTACCAGCCTCCACCACTTCCTCTGGCAACTCATTCCATACACCCTCTGCATGAAAATGTTGCCTCTTAGGCCCCTTTTATATAATTCCCCTCTCATCTTAAACCTATGCCCTCTAGTTTTGGATTCCCACATCCTGGGGAGAAGACCTTGTCTATTCACCCTATCCATGCCCCTCATGATCTTATAAACCTCTATAAGGTCACCCCTCAGCCTCCGGTGCTCCGGGGAAAACAGCCCCAGTCTATTCAGCCTCTCCCTGTAGCTCAAACGTATTACTAAGAGGGAGGAACAGTACAAGCTCAGAATTAGCCAGACTATGAAACAGGGCCTATTTATATGTATTAACTCGATTAAGCTATTTCATAGAATCTAAACATTTACATTATTTTAAATCACTGTTTAGTCCCCAGCTGAAGCATTGTACCCACATCTAGACACCACAATTTTGCACGTTCTTAGAGAAGGTGCAGATTTCCTACAATGGTGTTGGGGATGATGAACTTCCATCAGGTGGAAGTGTTAATAGAAGCTGCAATAGTGTTTCCTAGAGCAGAGAGGTTTATGAGAGATTTAATAGTTGGTAGGGTTTAGATAGGGAAGAATTGGATAGGGAGAAACAGTTTCCACTAGCAGCAGAGTCAGTAAGCAGAAGACACAAGCTTAAAATCACTGGCACATGAAGAGGAGCACAATTTTCTTACTGCAACAAATTGTTGTTATGTGAAATTCACTGCCTGAAAATATGACAGAGTTAGAGTTAATAGAAAATCAGCTGGCACACTGCATTCAGTTCTGGGCAGCACATTTTAGGATAGATGTGAAGATATCAGTAATAGAGCAGGAAAAAAATTACAAAGATAGATCCTGGAATGAGAAACTTCATTGCATTGATAAATTGGAGAAGTTGAAGGGAAAGATGAGAGGAGATTTGATAGAGGTGTTTAAAATCATGAGGGTTCTGAACCAAGGAGATAGAGAGAGACTGTTCTTACTGTTGGAAAGATAAAGAAACGAGAGGACACAGATTTAAAGATATGGCAACATCTGTGTAGAGACATCACAGTCAAAGTTTCAGGTCCGGTGACCCTTCCCCTGAACTGGACCCGAAACGTTAACTCTGATTTTTTCTTCACAGATGCTGCCAGACCTACTGAGCTTTTCCAGCAACTTCTGATTTTGTTCCTGATTTACAGTATCTGCAGTTATTGCAGTTTTTACACAGATTTGAAGGTAATTGGCAAGAGAAACTACAGAGACCAGAGGAAAACCTTTTCTATGCATTGGGTTCTTAGAATGGAGAATGCACTGCTTGAGAGAGTGCTGGGGGCAAGTTCAAATGAGGCATTTGAGGGGGAATTGGATCATTATCTAAAACAGAAGAATATGCAAGTTTCTGAGAATGAAGCTAAATAGTCTCTTTCTGCACTGTAACTGTCCTGTGATTCTGTGAACTAAAGGGGAATTGAGAAAATATTGACAAGGCAGTAAAAGGTATGAGTCACATTCTCAAGCTGAGTTGCAAAACCAATCTGTACACTTGCTGCCAAACCAGCCAACCAAATACCACAATAGTGGGCTCCAAACTAACAACATGTCATGGCAACATATTCTCTCCTATACTGCAACCTGATTTGTCATTACTGGACCAATGCTAAAGCAGGGTATTTTGACAATCATACAGCTGCTTAACCTTGTATTAAACTGGAGGCTTATCCCCATAGACTAACAGCAAGAGAGCATTATACACATCCAAACAACGATGGAAACCTTCTGGTTCATTTAGCCTGTCCTACAGACTTTCCCCATCCGAAAGCATACCATCTTCTGGGAGAGGCACAAAACTAGATTTTCAAAGACATCCAACTTGGCAATCAAAACAGCTCCAGGGGATCAGTCTGGTCCTGAATTCATTGACGTGCTTTCCTTTACTAAGGGATGAAGCCAGCCTGGTCAGAAACAGTCACAGCTCTCCTTTGGGAATCACACAGACCCAGAGACACGGCTTTTATTACAGAATACTGCGTGCAGCATGGTGTTGGAGGGTTTTCATGAGGGTGAATAAACAGAGTGCAACTTCATGAACACCGCCTCTACTTTCAGCTGCGCAACGGGTGGAAAGCTGATCGATCTTGCCAAGCATTGCAACACAATAAACTAATGTGTAAATGCTAGCATGGATCACTTGGGCCGAACAGCCTGTTTTTGCCACTGGAAACACTTTATGGTCTGAACCGTACCAGAAATCCAACTGCCAGTTTTGTTGGACGGTTTCTCTCTCTGCAGGCTAGTGCCAGAAAACTTGCTATCATTCCCAACTCTGCCCCATTACCTTTGCTCCACGTCCCCTTGGTGCCCAACTTGTCCAACTGTCCCATTCGCCACTGCCTGACGTCCTGGGATTCCTGGCACCGGCGCCATCTTGAAAAGCTCCTGGTACACCAGGTCAAGCACTGTCAGTCCACAGCCACCCTGCACAGTTAGTGACCTTTGCCCTGGATGTGGTAGGTCAGAGGGAAATCGGTAAGAGTCTTTGCAGACTGGGACCCATGGGTCAGGTGGGTGGGTTGGTGCAGAGGAAGGATGTTCTCTTCTGCCAGGACTGGCAGAGGAAGCCACGACACAAAACCCTGTCAATCTGGCCCAAGGTCGGGCAGGATGCTCTTCAGAGCGTCAGTGCCGACTCAATGGGCCAAACAGCCTCTTTCCGCAATGTAGGGATTCATAGAAGTGAGCGGACCGGAGAGGTGCCATGATGCAGTGAGGCTGGTACATGCTGGATGCCAAGGTCAGCAGGCATGCAGTGTGCACAGTCACTGCCCATGGAGCATGCCAGGAGATACTAGTGACTGGTGCCCAAGATACAGCACTGGAGGAGCAAGCTCTGTGCTGGAAGCACCAGCGTTCCCGCACTGATTTTTATGTCAGGAATTCTCTGTGCCTAATTTTACCTGTCGCATGGGAAACTGTATAGCAATGGTGCAATATTAATTAATAATGAGTCATAATCCATGTAAACAGGGCATTACCTGCACACGAGCGAGAATTCTGTCTCACTGCTTGATACTGGCAAACAGGAGTATTTGCTCTCTGCATTGAGAAGGTCCTTGCTGGACGTCTCACCTAATTTTACCATGGCCCGCGTCATTTAGGGACTGAGAAGATGCCAGCCTGTGTATTATGAGCGGGAACTATGCTAATAGATCTGGGTCATCAAAAGGGAGGAGATTAATGGTCATAAAACAGGAGGCGAGTGTAACACTCTAGGCAGAAAGTCATTTGCAAGTGACAAGCTGCATGCATTATTAACAAGGCATGCCTCGGGCTGTAACATTCTCCTGAGTTTTGTCGCTTGCTCAAGCCTCATTCCTAGATGGCAGCTGAACTGCTCAAGTGTGTCCCTCAGTGTTAACATGCTCTCACTGATTCTCTGTATTAGCATGTGTGATTGTATCGTTGAGGTGGAAATTGGAGGGATAAAAAGGTTGGAAAACAAATGTCATTCCTCCAATTCACGATAAAGCTACACTGTAATATTTCAAATGACAACAAGTAGTCAATAATAGGTGCGGGTACATCAATGTAATTCAGGCTGTCACACTTCCAATAGCCTCTCTGCTCCTATGATGCTGCTTGGCCTGCTGTGTTCATCCAGCCCTGCACCTTGTTGTCTGGTATATTTGGTACCTGAGCAAATGGGGAAGTGGTAACTGTTGCTTTGTTAAATCAGCAAGGAGCTTTTCCAATTGCCCAATGACCAAAAATGGCACACACAATGACAGTGAGCTACAACAACAAGGGCTTGCACTTATATGGCCTTGAACGTAACAAAAAAATCCCCAATGTGCTTCACAAGACCAGTCATTAAATGGAGCTTTGATGCTGACAACACATTGACAAATTTCAGGCCAGGTGGTTGACATTTTGAACAAACAGGTCAGGTTTTAAAGTGACATCTCTGTGGGAAGCAGAAGGATGGAGCTCTGTGTGTGTGTGTGTGTGTGTGTGTGTGGATATGTCTGTGTGGTTCTGTGTGTGGGTGTGTGGGATTCCAGAGCTTGCAGCTTAAGATACCATGGCCAGAGGTGAGATGAGTCTATTCAGGGACGTGGAGAAGGCTAGAATCAGAGCAGGTTGTATATCTCCATGCGGGGTGTTGTGGGACTGAAGAATATTACAGAGCTTGGGAGGGGACAGACCACAGAAGGATTTGAAAACGCTTATCCTTCTTTTCAAATGTCTACAGATAAGAAAGCTCCATTCTGAACTGCGGATGCCAAGGTGCCCATTTTCAGTGACCAGATTCGATAGGAAAAAGGTCCATTGAAGAAAATTGGAGGACCATCTACCAGCTGATGTGGCACTTGGTGGAGTTGGTGGAGAGAAGGTAAAACAACGGTGGGGCAGGATTGCATTGCGCTAGCACTGATTCCTCTCCTACAGCTCGAATGAGACAGTCAGAACGGTGTAGAGGGCTGTGTTTATATC